GACATATATGGGAGCTATATCCAAATCTGAACCGATCTCGATAAAATTTGGCAAATATATTTTGAGCTGTATTTGATATATCGTTGTTACGGAGTGCATATTACGGCTGTGGGTAAGAAATCGGATAAACAATATATATGGGAGCTATAGCTATATCTGAACCGATCTTCACCAAATTTGACATACTAGCTTCTAGACTCAATTCGGTCATAAGCGCCAAATTCCATCCCATTTGGACAAATATTAGACGTTTGGTGCACAATAAAATGTAAATCGGACGAAGTTATATATGGGAGCTATATCCAAATCTGAACCGATCTCGATAAAATTTGGCAAATATATTTTGAGCTGTATTTGATATATTTCCCTGAACATCGTTGTTACGGAGTGCATATCACAGCTGCGGAGGACAAAAATAACAAATCGGACGAAGATATATATGGGAGCTATATCTAAAGTTTTACCGATTATCTCCAATTTCAACAGGGTTCGTCCTTGGGCCAAACAAATGATTTGTGCAAAATTTCATCTGGATGCAAACTGTACTTTGTTTACAAAAATACGTGGACAGACGGACGGAAGGACATGCATAAATCGACTCAGAATGTGATTCTATGCAGATCATCAAAAGATCATGAGTCATGGGTCTACCTCGCTTCCTTTTGCCTGTGACAAACAAATGCACAAAGACATAATACCCTGACCACCTTGTGGTGTAGGGTATAAATACCGAATATAGCCGTTATATTGGGGTCTATACGACCTGGGCATACATAGGCATTGTTGTCAGAAACCATTACAATATTCAAATTCGATACTTGAAATAAACGGTGAATAATGTAGCTAAAATCATCAAAATACCGTACATAGGGAGGTACCGTTACATCGAAGATATGCGAAGACCTGGACTTGCATAGACAATTTTCTATTACATTCTGTAGCATCCATTACGAACTTTAATTACAACATCAACTTCAAATACAAACAATTTCGGTGAGTATTGTATCTAAAATCGTCAAAATGGCGAATATAGGGAGGTACCGTTATATGGGGGCTATATGAAGACCTGGACCTGCATAGACAACATTTTGTCATAGGCTGTAGTATCCATTACGATACTCAAATACCAAATTTGAAACAATTCCGGTGAATAATGTCGCTGAAATCATCAAAATACCGAATATCGGGAAGTACCCTTATATGGGGGCTGTACGAAGACAAGGACCTCCACAGACAATTTTCTGTAATAGACTGTAGTATTCATTACGAACTTCAAATACTAAATTTGAAATGTCGCTAAAATCATCAAATTACCGGATATCGAAAGGAACCGTTATATGGGGGCTATACGAAGACGTGGACCTGTATAAACAATATTCTGTCTTAGGCTAAAGTACCCCTTTGGAACTTCAAATGCCAAATTTGAAACAATTCCGCTGAATAATGTCGCTAAAATCATTAAAATACAGAATATCGGGAGGTACCGTTATATGGGGGCTATATGAAGACCTGGACCTGCATAGACAACTTTCTGTCATAGGCTGTAGAATCCATTACGAATTTCAAATACCAAATTTGAAACAATTCCGGTGAATAATGTCGCTAAAATCATGAAAATACCGAATATCGGGAGGTACCGTTATATGGGGACTATACGAAGACGTGGACCTCCACAGACAATATTCTGTCTTAGGCTGAAGTATCCCTTTGGAACTTCAAATACCAAATTTGAAACAATTCCGGTGAATAATGTCGTTAAAATCATCAAAGTACCGAATATCGGAAGGTACAGTTATATGGGGGATATAAGAAAACGTGGACGTACATGGCCCATTTACGAACTTAACCTGCCTACTGGCAAAATAAACATATTTGCAAAATTTTAGCCTTCTATTTCGATTCGTTCGAAAGATAGCGTGATTACAACAGACAGACAGGCGGACAGACAGAAACACAGACAGACGGACATCGGTCAATCGACATAGAATTTTACGCTGATCAAGAATATATATACTTCGTTGGGTCTTATGAGTATTTCGAGGAGTTACAAACGGACTGACAAAATTAATATATCCTCCATAGTATGGTGGAGGCTATAAAAAAATGTCGCAGAACTGTACAAACTCTAATTTATTCTCCACACCTCTTCCAATCGGGTAAACATTAATGCATGTATGTATGTCAATTTGTACAACCAATTGGCAAATTTATTTTTACCACCAAATGACCAGCATTTTATTTCTCTTTTTCGAGGGTCAGAGGGACATTCTGGGAAATTAGTTAAAGCCACAATCTAGAAAAAAAAATGTTGATCAAAAAATATTTTAGTGTACAGTACTTATTCTGATAGGGTTTTTGAAATTCATAACTTTGGTACTGTATTCCAAAGTACTGTATTAAGATACATACATTTTATCCTAACATTCGTAAACAATATTTGAATTTAAGAAATAAGGAAAAATCGCTTCTCCTTCCATAAAGCAAGAAAAGTACTGTACCCTACCAAAGGTCACAACTTTATATCATGCGTTGCAAATATCAATATTTCACATTTTAAGACAGGAATATGTTAGCTTTTCCCTGACTTATTACACTACCCACGTACAACACTTAATTTGCTCGAATGTTTATATTAAACATTATGTTCGATATTTTCAGTTTTTTTTTTTTTATTTTTTAAAAAGAGAATTGTTTTATGTCAATTAAAAGCTATAGCCAGCAAACGCTAAGAGATTTATGAGCGATTATTGGAGTCTGTTTTTATAAATTGTATTTTTCAAATATTTATTTATCTATTTGCATTGAATTGAATGAGTTTAATTTATGGGCATGCATTTTAAATACCAGCGGGGTTTTTGTTGTTATTGCTGTTAATTTATTTGAAATCGTGACACATGCCATGCTTTGTGGATGCAATTAAACAATTAGCTATTTTTTTAAAACGATTCATTTTTTGTTGTTATTTGTAAATTATCGGGGACGAAAGAGGAATTACTTCTTCATCTATAGAGGAGGAGAAGAAGGCTCTTCCTCAGAAAAAGTCTTCTTCTCCTTCCTCTTCTATAGAGGAAAAGAAGAAGACTTCTTCACCCTCCTCTGTTATAGAGGAGAAGGAGAAGGAGAAGAAGAAGAAGTCTTCACCCTCCTCATTTATAGAGGAGAAGAAGAAGTCTTCTTCACCCGCCTCTTTTATAGAGAAGAAGAAGTCTTCTTCACCCTCCTCTTTTATAGAGGAGAAGAAGTCTTCTTCACCCTCCTCTTTTATAGAAGAGAAGAAGAAGTCTTCTTCACCCTCCTCTTTTACAGAGGAGAAGAAGAAGTCTTCTTCACCCTCCTCTTTTATAGAGGAGAAAAAGAAGAAGTCTTCTTCACCCTCCTCTTTTATAGAGGAGAAAAAGAAGAAGTCTTCTTCCTCTTCCATAGAGGAGAAGACTTCTTCCTCTTCCATAGAGGAGAAGACTTCTTCCTCTTCCATAGAGGAGAAGAAGAAGTCTTCTTCTTCTTCTTCCTCTTCCATAGAGGAGAAGAAGAAGTCTTCTTCTTCCTCTTCCATAGAGGAGAAGAAGAAGTCTTCTTCTTCCTCTTCCATAGAGGAGAAGAAGAAGAAGTCTTCTTCTTCCTCCTCTTCCATAGAGGAGAAGAAGAAGAAGTCTTCTTCTTCCTCTTCCATAGAGTAGGAGAAGAAGAAGAAGTCTTCTTCTTCCTCTTCCATAGAGTAGGAGAAGAAGAAGAAGTCTTCTTCTTCCTCTTCCATAGAGGAGAAGAAGAAGAAGTCTTCTTCTTCATCCTCTTCCATAGAGGAGAAGAAGAAGAAGTCTTCTTCTTCATCCTCTTCCATAGAGGAGAAGAAGAAGAAGTCTTCTTCGTCATCCTCTTCCATAGAGGAGAAGAAGAAGAAGTCTTCTTCTTCATCCTCTTCCATAGAGGAGAAGAAGAAGAAGTCTTCTTCTTCATCCTCTTCCATAGAGGAGAAGAAGAAGAAGTCTTCTTCTTCATCCTCTTCCATAGAGGAGAAGAAGAAGAAGTCTTCTTCTTCATCCTCTTCCATAGAGGAGAAGAAGAAGAAGTCTTCTTCTTCATCCTCTTCCATAGAGGAGAAGAAGAAGAAGTCTTCTTCTTCATCCTCTTCCATAGAGGAGAAGAAGAAGAAGTCTTCTGCTTCCTCCTCTTCCATAGAGGAGAAGAAGAAGAAATCTTCTGCTTCCACCTCTTCCATAGAGGAGAAGAAGAAGAAGTCATCTTCGTCCTCTTCCATAGAGGAGAAGAAGAAGAAGTCATCTTCTTCTCCTCTATGTAGAAGAGGAAGAAGAAGACTTCTTCTTCTCCCTTCTATGGAAGAGGACGAAGATGACTTCTTCTTCTTCTCCTCTATGGAAGAGGACAATTTTTTCTATGGAAGAGAAAAGTAAAGGGGGTTACTCTTCCTCTTTCATTAAAAAGAAGAAGTTTTTCTCTCATAAAACAGAAGAAGAAAGTAAGCACCCTTGCCATGAAAAGTATGTTATGGCCTTTTTAAGGTTTTTTTTGAAAAGAAAGAGAAATAGTCCTTCAAAAAAGGCTTCATAGTTCGATTCGAAGAAAGGAAACCCTTAGGTCTTCTTTTGAAATTAAGGTCTTCATATGTTTATGGGAAAGGAACGAACGGCGCTAGCCTGGGAAGACCTTCGAAATTACAATTAATAAGGATAACTCCAGACTTTCTACAAAAAACAACCAGGCCCTTATAAAGGGGAGACTTTCAAATATGTTACGAAAATAAGACCTACAATATAGGCATCCTGGGGCTAAATTCTTGTTGCAGGAAGATATGAAATGAAAAGTATTTTCTTTAAAATATTATTGACATGTCCTTCTTTGATAAAAGTGTCCATTTCATAATTTATTGGAACAAGAATTCAGCCTAAGGGCTTCCTTCAGATCACCAACTATTAATCAATACCCTTCCTCAACGAACATTTCATTAAATTTCCCTCCTCTCCCCTCTCTCTTTTTCTTTGCAGAATCCACAGTAAATTCACGCAGTAAATCTACCTTGGAAAATGCACGTGAAAAACTAAGAGGTAAGCTTCCGAACGAACGTTTGCCTATCAATTCCTTGCAAAAGGATTTACCCCGAAGAAAGAAAGGGTGATAATTTCATTTCATAAATTATTATTTTTTGCCAAAATTTCCACGTAAAAACCCATAAAAATCTCAATAGAAGTAAGCATCGCTCTGATCCTTGGCAGCGGCAAAGGATTTCCCATTTTAATCCACTTGTCTTCAATTAGCTAAAACAAGGATTTGCTATTCAACTCATCTACGCGACGAATAAAACAACAAATAGCGGACAAGTGTTGAAGGTGTCATCAATCCATCCATCCGTCCACCAGACTACCTGTCTCTACGAGCCTAATTGACTAGTTTCTGGGAAATACCCTCAGCGCCAGGACGAGCGCGCAAAAAGACAGGTAGTTTGAGACAGAGAAAGCGCCATGGATTGGCTTTAATTACCATGACGACAGTCTGTCCGTCCGGTCGTTTGTCCGACCATACAAAAGGTACACAAATGAAGGTCATATTAGAGCCATGGCGAAGTGGTGGTGTTGGTGACTGTATTATGAAATATTATGACACCTCGGTTGCGCATATCCTTCGTTTGGAGGATTAATAATGTAGGGACAGCAAAAACAAGCGGAGTTGTGAAAGTAACCAACATTTTTTACACTTCCCATGCCGTCTCTTTTGTTGGGTCGATAATTAGAAGAGCAGGTGAATTTAAGCGATGAAATATGGAACAATCTGAGCAAGAAGGAATAAAAATGGGCGAGATGTTTTCAGAAAATTTTAAAATGATGAATAATTTTTTATACCCTACGCCATATGGCTAGAGAGGGTATATATAATTTGATTATATCCTCAGCCATATGGCTTGAGTGGGTATGTCTCATTGAAATAACGATCTTAGACCCTAGTTCTATTTGATCTAAATCCGTTTCAGGACATTTGGAATCCATCTAGCAATGTCCCTCCGCCTGTCTGTCTGGCTAGTACGCACGATAACTCTCTTAGGGGGTATACGATTTGGTCCAAACTTGGTACATCGAAATATCATTATCAAACCTACATCGAGTTCGGAGATGGGTAATATCGGTCCACTCCTTCTGGTACCTCCTCCACAAAATGTCCAAAAAATGTTTTACTGCACAAAAAGAGAAAGGATAATTCGATTTCGCTCCAACTTTGCAAATCCTAATATTTGTAACAGGACTAGGTCAGATGCGAAAATGGACAATGTCGGTCCACTCCATCAAGTACCTCCCCACAAAGGGTCAAAATTGTAAATAATTATAACTCTTTGAAAATGTGATGTAAAAGTCCGATTGTCCGAAATTACACAGATAAACATATTTTTATTAACCCAAGGTCTGGTATGAAGATTCTACCTCCCCCAAAAGTACCTCCCCCAAAAAGGATCAAAATTTTGAGTATCCATGGAACTTATAAAACGCGAAATTAATATCCGACTCCGTTCAGACTTGGCACATCTCAATATTTACATCAAGACAAGATCTGTCATAAATATGCTAGAGATCAGACCATTCCTTCTGGTACCTCCTCCCTCCCCCAAAAAAGCGACAAAGTTTTGAATAACCAAAACGATTATAAAATCCAAAATAAGCATCCGGTTCTCTTGATATTTCACACATCCCATTACTTCTATCAAATAAAGATCCTCTGTGAATATGGTGGAGATCGGATCATTTCTTCTGGTACCTCCCCCACAAAGGATGCAAATTTTGAATACCCATGAAGCTGATAAAACGCAAAATTAACATCCGATTCCATTCAGACTCGGTACATTTCAATATTTCCATCAACAAAAGATCCGTCATAGAAATGGTAGAGATCGGATCACTCCTTCTGGTACCTCCCCCACAAAAGGTCGAATATTTGAATACCCAAAACGATTATAAAATTCCAATTAAGCATCCGGTTCTCTTCATATTTCGCAAATCCATTTTTTTCTACTAACATAAGATTTTTTGTGAAGATGGGATATAGCGGTCCACATCTTCTGGTACCTCCCCCACAAAGGGTCAAAATTTTGAATATCCATGAAGCTTAGAAAACGCGAAATTAACATCCGACTCCATTCAGATTGGGTACATCTAAATATTTCCATCGACACACGATGTCTCATATAGATGGTAGAGATCGGTCCACTCCTTCTGGTACCTCCCCCCACTAAATGTCAAAATTTTGAATATCCATAAACCTCATAAAAGGCGAAATTAACTTCCGATTCCCTTCAAAGTCGGCACATTTCAATATATCCATCAACAAAAGTTTTGTTGTGAAGATGGTAGCTTTGTGGTACCTCCCCCACAAAGGGTCAAAGTTTTGAATAACCAAAACGTTTGTAAAATCCGAAATAAGCCTTTGGGTCTCTTCAAATTTCAAATATCCCATTATTTCTAATAACAAAAGATCTGATGCGAAGAAGGAACATATCGGTGCACTACTACTGGTATCTCCCCCACAAAGGGTCAAGATTTTGAATAACCAAAACGATTATTGAATCCAAAATAAGCATGTGGTTCTTTTCATATTTCACACATCCCATAATATCTACTAACAAAAGATCTGCTGAAAATATGGAATATGTTGGTCCACTTCTGCTGATACCTCACCCTCAGTAATTTTCTAAAAATTATCACATATCTCATATAAAGTGAAGGAAGTAACCAATATAGTTCAAACCTGGCACATCGCGATACTTATATCATATTTATTTAGGTCCGATACGAAATTGGCAATATTGGCCAATTCCTTGGGAGCCAACTCCATAGAGGGTCAAAAATTTGAATAATCATAAGAGAAGTCAAAATATATTTAAGTAAACGAATATCGGCTGAGGCTACATATCTTTCGGTTATACCGACTGATACCTTTTATCGTAGAAGGTACTCTTTGTATAGAATACCTGAAGAAGGACCTGTAGGAAGACTTATCTCTAAAGAAGGATCACTTCGATATATTACAGATCTTTAATAGGGACTTCTATAGGTCTAAAGTGTTCATTTTTATTTTTTTTTAATACCTCCCCCCCTCTCTCTCTCTGTCCGAAAAATCCCCATTCCCTTGCAGTGGAAATTCACTGATAAACTCTGTTGCTAATGTGAAACTGATAAAAACACAAAAAATGCAAATAAAAAAAACGAAAACGAAAGCCATAAAAAATCTGCCCACCTCTGAGGGGTAAAAACGAAAAAGAACAGCAAAACCAACAACAACAAGCATTTAAATATTTCAATGGTTTATCAAACTTTAAATAAAGAAATTGTCATAAAAAATGTCTTGTTGTTGTTGTTGCTGCTATTTTGGCCATTGGCACTCAGCGCCAGCTGAAATAGCTAACCTGCCAGCCAGCCAGCCAGCCAGCTAACCAACCAGCCATTTAGACCGTGCACTCAAACGTCATTTTATATTTAGTAGCAAATATTTGCAAACAAATTTATTTAAATTTATTTGCCATTGCCATTTTTCGTTTCGCGTTTCATTTCATTTGACTTGTGTTTTCGTCATTTCGGTTAGAAATTTGCAAAAAAAAAACAAAAAAAAATCTTAAAAAGAATTGCGATTTCTTTGCTTCGCTTGTTGGCAGCAAAAGAACAACATAGAATGATTTGTTGTTATATTTTTTTTGGCTCTTATCTGATAAATATAGCACATGGTGCCTGTGCTTTTTTTCGGGAGACATTTGAAAAATTAGCACAAAACTAGTGGGCAGACCCCTCAAATGTTGTTCAAGCCCAAGCGGGGGGAAAGAAATAAGTTTCGCTATCGCCGATTCTTGGGTGCTGCTTTTTGGAAATAAAAAGCAACGAAATAAACACAAATTCCAATCTCAAAACTCAATCAGCCATCAATGGCATATCAATCAATGAAAAAATATGAATTAGGCCTTTGCGATGATGACAAGTCGGGGGTATAAAAATGTCAAAAATAATAATTGATATGATGACGATGATGATGTTAGTAAGTAATTCCCCTTTGGTGGTAGCTTGGAAAACTAAAAAAAATGTCTGTAGAATGAACCGAACTAGATTCACATAGGATCTTCTTAAAAAAAAAGAGACCTCTTACAGGTCTTCTTTGAAACTTCTGTTAGAGGTCTTCTATAAGAAAAAGACTCATTCACAAGAAGAACATCGCCTAGAGTCCTTTTATAGAAGGACGACCCCCTAAATGTCTTATATAGACAAAAGGGCTCCTATGTGGTAGAAAACCTCCTTGAGGACTTCTACAAAAAAAAAGACTTTATACAGGTTTTCTGTTAAAAGAAGTCTTATGACAGGTCTTCTATAAGAAGAGAACATCTTGTAAAAGTATTCTATAGAAAGAAGACCTCTTAGGTCTTCTATAAAAAGAAGACCTCGAACAGGTATTCTACACAAAGAAGACCTCTTAGAGGCCTCCCATAAAAAGAAGGCATCTTATAGGTCTTCTTAAAAAAAGACCTTCTACAGGTCTTATATAAAAAGAAGACTCCATGTAAAGTTATTCCATAAAAAGAATGCCTCCGCAAAATCTACTATAGAATGAAGTCTTCTATACGAAGAAAACCTCCTAGAGATATTCTATAGACAGAAAACCTCCGAGAGATCTTCTATAGACAGAAGAACTTATAGAGGCCTGCCATAGAAAAAGCCTCCCAGAGGTCTTCTATAGAAGGAAGACCACCTAGAGGCCTTCTAAAGAAAGAAGACCTCCTAGAGGTCTTCTATAGAAAGAAGACATCCTAGGGGTCTTCTACAAAAAAATTCTACAGCACCTCACATGGGTCGTCTAAAACTAGAAGACTTCCTGGAAGACCTCCTAGAGGTCTTCTATAGAAAGAATACACCTCCTTGAGATATTCTATAGAAGGAAGACCTCCTAAAGGTCTTCTATAGAAAGAAGACTTTCTAGAAGTCTTCCATAGATGGAAGCCTCCTAGAGACCTTTTATAGAAAGAAGACCTCCTAGAAGGTTATATTGAAAGAACATTTCCTACATGTCTTCTATAAAAAGTAGA